GTCCTACCATATGTGTAAGATCTAGTAAACCGAAGTGAAGCAGAGAGTTTCATGGAGGTAGGCCTAGGCCCAAATTGGGGCTGTAGCACCACAGGGGGAAAAAAAAAAGATAGTACAACAGTGAAATCTATTTTATTTATAATCACTTATGTTTCTTACCTTGGGTAAATTAGTCCCTCTTCAGTCATACAATCATTTTGGCAATTCTTGATTGGTCTATATTAATATGCTCGGTAGTAGGAAAGACATTAACTTTAAATCATTGTTTTTTATTTTTCTCTCCCCACCCCATCCTTTACTCTCTTTTTCCTTTATAATATTGTATGCACAGAAAAAGACTCACGTTGTGCAGAAGTTCCCTGTGCCATAGAATTGTTCTGGGTCTTGATTGAAATGTTCATCCAGGACAAGTTTGGCTGTCTGTAAGAGAATTGTCGATTTTAAACCTTGCTCCAAAAGTGGACAACATCAAGAATTTTTCTGCTGTATTTACTATACAAAACTATAATTCTGCCTGTGGTTCTGCATGCNCGCGTAATGAAACACGACGTAAGAATGAAATATGCTGTATAATTTTAATATTTTAACACTTAACGTTTATCAGTATATATGATAAATATATATTTTAGTTATTTTAGTATGTATAGACAAGGCATGCAATGAACTAGTTTGTCGTGGATTGGATCAGCACCTGAAGATGGCACATTTGTGCCGAAACATGTAGTGAGAGTGAGAAGAGGGGCAGATGAATGTATGCACTAGAAGACGGATAAAATAAATCATGGACTATAATTAGAATGATCAAATCAAGGAGAATGAGATGGGCAGGGCATATAGCACGAATGGGGGAGAAGGGGAATGCATATAGGATATTGGTGGGAAAGCCAGAAAGAATGAGACCACTGGGAAGACCAAGATGTAGGTGGGTAGATGATATTAAAATGGATCTTAGTGAGATAGGATAGGATGGTATGGATTGGATTAATGTGGCTCAGGACAGGGACCAATGGAGGGCTCTTGTGAACACAGTAATGAACCTTTGGATTTAATAAAATGCTGGGAAGTTCTTGAGTAGCTGCACAATTGGTGGCGTCTCAAGAAGGGCTCAGGTCCATAAGTGTGTGAGTAATTTATTATATTTGCTTGCTTATGAGGTCACAATTTGTATGATGTCTTTCAAGTCTAAAAATAAGGATGTGAACATTACATGTTCAATCTTAAGTTCACAAATTATGGGATACAAAACTTTCTTAGCACGTTATGCTGTAGTTTTATATCCTGTTGCAGTTGGTATTAGAATTTATTTTTGGTTTTGTTTACCATCCACCATGCACTATATGTTTCAGCCTACTCAGCCATCATCAGGTGCACTGAAATTTATGGGAACTGCTGTGCCTTCTGTGCTCCTGCGATCGGTGTTTTCATATTTATAAGGTTTCTACATGAAGTCAAATTAGTTCCTCTTTATATGCCACATGTTTTGTCTCTGTAAGGTGTAATGATAAACTATTTTCAGTATTTCTTTTCCATGGAATACTTTTAAATTGTATATTGTTAATGCAGATAATATGTACTTAGTTTTTGGTTTGCCTGTTGTCTATCTAGCGTGCAGTGTGCATGTTATAAGTGAGTTGTGGGACTGGTTCTGTTTTAAATAGGAGATTGGGAATATGTGATGTTATCTGGTGTAATCTTTCAAATACTGGGTTATAGGTATCAATGTATGTGTCATTCATATGTAATCTGTCTTTACTAATTTTATATGTATTGTATTTTTTTGTGTTCAAATGTCTTCCTTTTTTTTTCTTCTCATTTTTATAATGCCCACTGTGTCTGTTATAATGTCATATGCATGTTCTGTGTTCAATATACGGATGGAATATCCTGAGTTGCCATTATTACTTCTAACTGCTTGTATATGTTCTTTATATCTAGTATGAAATGTTCTACCAGTTCTACCATAAGCAGGCAAATATAGTAAATACAGCCTGAAAATTCTTCTTAGCCCACTGTTCTAACCCTGTTCCACCTTTAAGAAATTAGGTTCTTGGTCAGTTGACAGATGACAGGAAAACATTTGAGCAGGTATCATTTTGTGCTGCTCAACAAAAATCAGTGCCTATGTTCCCAAAATAAAATCAGCTGAAATGTCATTATCAGTTTAAATAACATACACATTACATAGACTATATATTCTGCAGTTTCTGAAAAAAAAAATACTTCAAATAATTAGCAGAGATGTATGAGAAAATTTGGCAGGGCAATGTTTTCCTCAGCAATGACAGGATTCTATGCCCATGAAGCTTATCGTCCATCCATGACTTGCTTTGATTTGATCACCCGACACTCTATGTTAGCCTGCTATTTCCCCTGCCTTTAATTGCAGCATTTCATTCATAACACTCCATCAATCATTATGAACTTTTATCACATACTCCAGAAGAGCATCTACAGTCGCAAGACCACATTCTCTTGTCTGGGAAAAGCCTATGTCCAATGCCTTCATGTTATTCGATTTCTCCAATATCCAATGAATTTTTTATTTGCTGAAAACTCTTGCCTTCCGGCTTTTGTACTTCCACATTCTTCTGAAAATATCTATTCTTTTAACTTAAAGTATGCCATATACGAGTAACTAACTTTTCCATAATATTCCTGTTAATCAGGCATTACACAATGGCTTGGCTTGCTATAAATTAGAATGAAAGTATGCCCTAGCCGACGCTTAAGATTATGAAAAATTGTTAATTATAAAACTACACAATCATTTACAAGCAAGTAAAAAGACTACATGTATGTGGCAGCTACACATGAAATTGAAAAAAATATATTTACCGCTACAAAATTTGGGTGTAAAAAATATATGATGGGGGCCCATGTGAGTAAATATGGTATTTATTTTTAAACCTGTAACCATAGTGAAAATGTTTATGCTGAGCTGCATATAAATATGGCATGTGAACACAACTCTCATCACATCAAAGCCTGATGATGGAGACAAGTGCTGTTTTCTAAATGTTGGCCACCAAATCCATGTTAACACAGCCTATCATTAGCACAGACTTAACTGTATTTTGTAGTTTGTTCATGTTAATGATATTATTACAAGAGATCCCATGGCCATCCCATTATGACATCTTGCTGTATGTTAGATTACAACATTACGAACCAATTCTTTTTGCAGAAAAAGTTACATTTTGTGAGATACTGACGGTCAAAAGTTACATAAGGTGACAATGAAACCAAAACTACTCTACCTGAATGTGAGTTACACTGGGTGTTCCTAAATGAATGGTGGGGTTTCAGATACATATATATTTCATATTTCTTACCGTGTACAATCATAACATGTGTCAATTGGAAGCTTAACTGTCCAAATTTTATGTGCATCCATCAAAGTGCCTCTATGTGCGCACTTTTCGTTACCCGGCACACATCAATGCGACAGTCGAATTCCTGCCATACCTGCTGCAGAATTTCAGGTGTGATGGTCTCCACAGCACAATTGATTCTGTTTCGGAGATCCTGGAGCGACTGGGGCAATGGGGATACATAAACCATGTCCTTCACATACCCCCACAAAAAGAAATCACATGGAGTTATGTCCTGGGACGGGGTGGCCACCGGAGAATGGGGCATTTTCACCTGCAGCACGTCCAATCCATTGTTGCGGAAGGACCAGATTAAGCAAACCTCTCACATTGCGATGGAAATGTGGGGGAGCACTGTCCTGTTGGAAAATGTAGTCACTGGAATCAGTGGCCAGTTGTGGAAACAACCAATTTTCCAGCATGTCTTGGTAGGTGTCACCAGTCACTGTTGCTTCGGTGAAGAAAAAAGGCCTGTACACTTTTTGTTGAGAGACAGAACAGAAGACGTTAATTTTTGGAGAACCACGCTCATGCTCAATTTGAGCATGTGGATTTTGTGTCCCCCAGATACATACATTGTGTCAGTAAACTATCCCACTCATACGAAAAGTGGCTTCATCACTGAAAACGAGACATTCCACGAAACCATCGTCTTCCATCTTCTCTTGAATGTCCTCAGCAAAATGAGTCCTGGCTACCTTGTCTTGTGGTTTCAGAGCGTGCAACAGCTGCAACCTGTATGATTTCATTAATATCCACTTACTCAGCACCCTCCACAACGTTGTTGTTGGCATTTGCAATTCTCTGCTTCCTCTACATAATGATTTTTTGGGCTTCTCTGATACGTCTCCTTCACTCTCTCCACATCTGCATGTGGCACACGTGGCCACCCAGAACTCTTGCCTTTACAGAGACATCCACTGTCCACAAAGTGCCGGTACCATCTGCAAATGTTGTTTTCATGTGACGCCTCCTTCTGAAAAAGTACATGAAATTCATGGTGCACTGTAACGATGGATTTAGACACCTCAAATTGCAGCACACAATAGGCCTTTTCCTTCTGGGTCGCCATCTTACATTTCATGTTGCCGAACTGTCGGAAATGGAACTAGGAAAGAGTGTGATATACGAAATGAAAATTTGAGAGCCACGTTATGAATCCATATATGTTTTTCTTTTCATCACCAAAAACTGACAGAGATATACAGCAATGAAATCCCACCATTCTTTTAGGAACATTTAGCAATTCATTAGCTTCTACACATGCCTACATGGCAATATAACTTGTACAGAACAAAGGTTATGGTAATTTTTTATGGTGGCAGCAGCTAAAAAATGCAACTTTTATATTTTACTCCCGTTCCACAAAAAGTGCAAGACAAAGTTTGCTGAAATTTTGGAAGAGTACTATTTTTATGCAGACTACAAGCTCAACCAGTTCCATTCAAATTGCAGAAAGTCAGGTTCAAAACTGCATTTTCTTGTAATATTCCACACAGAATGACTGGTGGTGAGACATGAAATAGGCATAAGTAAAACAAGAACTTTGGTCTGAGAAGTTCAAGGTACAAGACCACCTTGGCAGGGTTTGTAAAAATAGAACATTAATACAATGTGACATGTCAAACCATTGTTGGGCAAAGTGAACCAAGCCAAAACAGATGTAAAGATGATGGCTTGCCGAGAAACGACGGAGGCGCAGCTAGTAGAAGAAGAGCTGACTTTACTGGACATGAAACCTGAGACGGCAGCACAAAAAGAAGAGGTCCCCATAGAATACGCCAGTGAAACCAGTCAGTGTACCAAAGAAGAAACGACGTAGGGACTGGAAGTTAGCTACAGAGTGGTGAGGAACGCCAAAGGAGTGGACCCAGGGCAGGGATGCGTGCTGAAAGAAATCGAATGCCACCAACATGATGACCCACTGTGCGAGAGTGGCGCGGCAGAAGAAAACTAACAGGAAGATGTCCCGTCGTTCAACAGTGGCCGAACGCAGGAGAGACATCTTCAAAAAGAAACTGACTCAAGGACCTTGTAGATCCCAGAAGAGGAAAAAGACCGCTTCTGAGTGGGTAAGTAGACCAGTAGTCTGTGCAAGCGTAGCTCAGCCACCAACAGTCAAGGGAAATACATGTAAGATTTGAGGCTTTCACGGCGGTGACTATGAAGAAAGCAGTCTTCTGGGATTTGGCACCATGTATATGTGGTGTTAACCGACGTTTCGGAGGAACGTATCNGAACAGATGAGAGGCTTCCATGACTTGCTGAGACAACCCCCCCCCTCTCTGTTCTCTGTTCATATTTTTGGGATGGAGTTCAATCTCAATGGCTTCCCTAATGATGCGATCCATATAGCGGGTCCTGGTGGCAAGGATGGAGGTATTCTGAAGCTATATATGGGCTAGAGCACTGTGTGATCAAGACAGCCTACATGTGGAGTTGCTGCTCCTGAGAGATGTATTCAAGAAGAATGGATACAACCGGCAGATCCACAGAGTTCTCAACCGTCGGCCCAACATCAGCCGGCCTGAAGACAAACCGGGCTCAGTCGCCTTCCTTTCCTATGTCGGGACCATATTCAACCTTATCAGTAGAGTGCTGTCCCGGCACAACATCAAAGCAGTGGGTCTGCCTCCAAATAAATATCCAATTTCCTCCGGCCGGTTAAAGATAGCCTGGGCCTAAGGACACCAGGTGTATACAGTATCCCATGCGAGAGCGGCAAGGTCTATATCGGGCAGACAGGCCGCTCCGTGGACATGAGGTTGAAGGAGCATCAGCAGCATATCCGTCTCAAACATCGGGACAAGTTGGCCATAGCTGAACACAGCATCGATGTGGGACACCGTATTCAGCNTTATGCCGTGGTGACAGGAGGGGCGTGTAGGTATCCCTCCACTGCCACCACATATTATGCTGTAAGGGGGGTTTGATGAAAATACTACTAAGTTGCTCTACGTTAGGATTCTCCTGGCTCTGGACCTTCTTCGTTGCATACAGTTGCCACCATATATTACATCTTAAGAGGAGTGATGAAAATACTAAGGACCGGTAGCGCGGTAGGCGAGCGTTCTTTGTTGGCTGGCCCCTCCATCACTGTCACCACTTCGTACTGGCATAGAGCGGGCGTGTCGGGTCCGACCCACCTCTACCCATCGACTGTCACACCCTATATTACACCTCTGCGACAGGGGTGAATTGGATATTTCACCGCTGTCACCAATTATTATGTCTTAGTGATGGGGGTGGGTTAAAACACACTAAATCACTTTGTCTGTCATTTATCTTTGGCTAGTCCCTTCGCTACATCAGTCAACTCTTCGTTGACTTGGCCCACCACCGTTGCCATAAGTAATACTTCGATGGCAGGGGTGAGTAAAGCACAAGTACTAATTCTCTCTGTCAGCCACCTCTCGTTGGCTGATCCCCCACTTCTGCCATCACTTTGTTATGCCTGAAGGGGGCTAATAAAATATCTAAATTACTCTTCCCTGTTCCATCAGGAACAGGGAAGAGTCTGTCTGTCTGTCTGTCTGTCTCCTATTAGTCTCTCACCCTTAACTAGGATTCTCATAATCCTTACTGCTAGTTGCATCCGGCTGCCGTTGGCTGCCTGGGTCGGTTCTGCCTTCGCTTGGGCCAGGATCGCTCTGGATCGGTCGTGGACGGGTTGGTTTGAGGACGTAAATCAAAATCCTGGTACATCCTACTATAATTACACTGTCTATTTACACTATTATGTACAATACAGAAATGCCGACGCGCTGTCGGTTTACACATGATATCCTTTCATTAATGGTTCCAAATTTCGTCCTAATCTCTCACCTAGAGCTGATGGCTTGAGACTGTCACTTCCTTCATTACTATTACTCGACACACCATCTCTGTCCTACCCTAGGTACAGTGGTCTATTATCACTTTCATTTGCATTCTATTTACAATATTAACAATGCCGACTCTTCAGTCGGGACTACGTAGTGTCTTTACTTTACCATGTTATGACTTCATCATGTTCTCCCCTTCTGGGGTGTAGGACTTGAGTCTGTCTGTCTATCTCTCTCTCTCTCTACTGTTTTGACTCATCCTCGTACGACATGAACCTTTGTCCTGGCTCCATCCCCTACTACTCATTACACAATTCTTCACTATTTTAGCATAACGTTTCACCCTTAAATTATTCAGCCCCTAAAGTTATACATACTGAAAGCCTACGTATATTTATCACAAGGTAGTCACAACTATGAACAACAAATATGTGTGCTCCACATACTACCAGTAATCATAATACACTATCTAATGTCAACCCTATTTACTACACTAGCACCTTGCTTATTACTTATTACAACATTTTCTCTTATCCTATCCTAAAAACTTGCTGGGCGCACTGGACATTACTTTCAACATTTAACAAACAACAATTTACCAACAACCATAAAGTTTAACAGAATGGCTAGTTTGAGCAAACATGACTTACTTGAGATAGACACAGCGACACCACTACTTGTAGTACCCATGTCAGAGAGAGCCTCCGGCTAATTGTTACGTTTTTAGATTGATCCCTGAGTGAGTTTTTTCCTCATTTTTATATTATTAAAATGGCTGATGCAGCAGCTAACAAAGAGAGAGGTTAACTCCTCCCTTCGTCCTCAATTGCTAAAGCGGTAATTTCTAATTGGCTATATCCGACTTGTCGCGGGCAATCGCGGCGCCTCCCTCGTTGCATTTTGTAATTTTGTGGTCTCCCATTGTTTCCAAACGCCACTTACAAAGTGGCGCGATTGCGCGTTTCTGCTGACTAAGATGTTTGTTGACCGCGTTCCACAGCCTACGTGTGGCCATCACTGCTCTAATTACTGTGAAACGCTCTCGTAATATTTAGGCAATACTTTTGATTTCTAGTCTCACAATTTGCAGCATAAGAAGTTCCAACACCAGCCTCCTTTTACCGGTTCTCACGGTCTCTTCCCTTGCGGATTTCTTATATTTTCCTNCATTCACTGCTGAAATACTAAACAACCTGCTTCCATGGCCGAGATACAGGGCGCCCATATTATAAGGTAAGGTTATAAAACCACCATTTAAGATCATTTTAGTGAAAGTTTCATGTTCCTATCTCATAGAATTTAAGAACAATGATGAATAAATAATTTTCGAGCAAAATTTAAATGGCCGGCTGAATATATTACCGCAGGAGCCGCGGCCGCGGAATTTAAATCACCACGTCAAAGGGTTAATTATAGCCCTGAACAGCAGGACAGCAGACGTGCTGCACAGCATCCTGACAGACATGAGAAACAAAGGTTGGACTGTGTGCAGGGGTGGACCCCTTCCAAAGTCGAAAAACACTTAATTATAGCCCTGAATGGCAGGGCAGCAGACATGATGCACAGCATCCCAACAGACATGAGAAACAAAGGTTGGACCACGTGCAGGGGTCGACCCCCTCCAAAGTGGAAAAAGAGGCAACATTAGCACAGAAGAGGAGCAGGTACTGTAGAAGCACCGGCCTCCCCAGTGAATGAGCAAGAGAGAAAGAGAGGGATGATTGTGATACAGCTGGATCTCCTGGCACTTTAGTAGGAAACCGCTCAAGACAAGCTGGTCTTAAGGAGGGAGCAGATGTAGCAGTTGGAGAATGGGCAACGGGAAGAAAAGAAACACCGAGCCAGACAAAAAGAAGATGTTGCAAGTATAGCCTCAGAAGGAAAGTACCGGTGATGCATTGTTAGGCTATTTGGGACGAACAGCCTTAAGAAGGGATCAGTGTGACATGTCAAATCGTTGTTGGGCAACAGGATGTTGAACAAGTTACCACGAAGACAGACTCTTGATAAATGGTCAGTTGCCAAGTTGCACAACAGTGGAACGAGGTTACGCAACAGTAAGGAAAGTGGTGTTTCTCCTTGCCTTGCCTGGCCGAGCCAAAGCACGCAGGTTACTACGCACCGTTTCAGTAAATATCTCTCGGCAGCATTACCTAGCAATGCCTCTGTAAACATGGCGATTACACAACAGGGAAGTGAGGTGCATTTTCCGCTGGAATAACTAAAGAGACAGTTAGTATTTGGAGTATTCGGCGGAGCAGAAGTCAGTCAGCCGCAGGAAGAAGAACCGAATGCGTGGTTAGAAGATTTTATGTGTGATAATCAGTGATAGTTTGTGATAACTGAAAAGGTATTGGGAGTGTGTAATTCAGTAACACTCATATAGCTCCCACGTTATACTGTAAATAAGTGAAGACTACTGAAGACTATGAAGAGACTTAAAGTGTGTAAACCCGCAAGAGTGTCATAAGTAATTGTAGTTGCGACTTGTAGGTTGTTAATAAAACCAANAGGTGCATTTTCCGCTGGAATAACTAAAGAGACAGTATTTGGAGTATTCGGCGGAGCAGAAGTCAGTCAGCCGCAGGAAGAAGAACCGAATGCGTGGTTATTTCAGTAAATATCTCTCTGCAGCGTTGCCCAGCAATGCCTCTGTGAACACGGCAATTACACAACAGTGAAGTGAGGTGCATTCGCTGCTGTCCAACTGAGAGTTTATATGAGAAATTGGAATAACTAAGGAGCCAGTTAGTATTTAGAGTATTCGGCAGAGCAGAGTCAGCTGTGGGAAGAAGAACGGAATGCGTGGTTATAAGATTTTATGTGTGATAATCAGTCGTAGTTTGTGATAACTGAAAAGGTATTGGGAGCGAGTAATTCAGTGACACCTGTATAGCTCCCGCGTTATACTGTAATTAAGTGAAGGCTACTGAAGACTGTGTAAACCCGCAAGAGTGTCATAAGTAATTGTAGTTATGACTTGTAGGTTGTTAATAAAACCAATTAACAGTCTGAATGGTGTCTTCAGTGGCCAAACACGTTATAATATAAATGGACTCCAGAAAAATAGAATATAAAAATGTGAACTGTATTATGTTGACAAAGGCCAGGATTCCCACTCTGTAGTATAACATTACTTACGAATTTAAGTGGACAAATCTGTACTCACTGCTTCTGGTCTTCTGTCACATACGTACCCTAACAAGATCCAAGTTGGTGCCAGTGATTTTGACAGACTGATTGCCAACTGTGACAGTATATTTGTATTCTCCTAGAGATGCATCGTTTGTTGAGAAGCTATGAAGAAGTGCAGATCGACGAACATCTGCAACATAAAAACTTTATAGCTGCTATTCCTGGATATACAGTATACAGAGAACTGTATATAATATCAGTAGGGGACTATGGGGCCTAAAGAAAAGAACTAGTATACAGAATTACTAAGTCTGTACTTACCTACTGCTGTATCATTTCATCTATTTTTTTATCTGAACGAATATTTTTTACATCCCAAGCCCTTACTTAAAAAGTTAATAATTATACTGCAATACATCAGGCTTGCAAAGCACACAGATGGATGGTTTTGCATAAGTATATTTGTAAAGTTCAGTTCACTTGTGTATTTTGCAGTCATTATTTCAAATATACTATATCTTATAAATTTATGCATTTATTTATGGTTGATTTAATGACACTATCAGTAGCTGAGATTATATAAGCACTGAAAGGTAATGTGACCAGTCACTCACTGGAAAGGATATGGAAGAAAGCAGTCTAATTTCAGGAAATATTACAACATGTCTGGAAGGATGGAGGAAAACTACAGAAACCTCAGTCATGATACCACATCTCTCAGGAAAGATTTCAACATGGGACTTCTTTAATATTGTCACATCTAAGGGGTAGGCGTGACAAACATTTGTGGGTTCTTGATTTGATGACTGAATTTATTGGACGTCCCAATTACAATTACAGTTGATTACAACAGCTCACACATTGAACTCCTTAACAACTTCTGTCCTGCAAATCTCTCATAAATATCTCACTGTTGTCTGAATCTCGGACTGGTCTCTAGTCTCTTGAATTCTGGATCTCTGGATATCTCCTCCCTTTGCATTCACTACCTTCACAACTGCTAGGCAGCCTGCATAGCAGACATCACATCAAACGGTTAATTGTTTCTGATGTCTCATCAGTTGCCATGGGAATCTTGTGTTTAGCAACTTGTTACCTGGTAGGGACTCATTCATTACTATCTGTTGTAACGGAAACTAGTGTTTACTTAGACGTTGCTCATCAATGGAAATCTGGCTCTGTCCACTATTCTGGCTTTCAGGCGTCATGTCACAATATGAAGCAGGAGTACTATCCATTTCAATGCAATGTTCAGTAAATAATGTATAAAGAAATGTAATGTTTCACTTATTAAGCTCAAAATTACTGTACTTATCTATTAATCTAAACTGACACTATTATATAGATGCAGATACAGCAAAATAAGTGATAAATGTTTACAAAACATGCCCAAAAATGCAAATGCCAAAACAAAATACAATACAGTTGCATCATAAATTTAATATTTTCCCACATATTAAATTTATTTAAGAAAAATCTTAAACCCATGCAAAAAGTCCTACTTCTTTTTTGCATTTTGAAGAAAATAACCAACCAGATTAAGAAACTTTGTACTACAGAGAATTCTGGAAGCTCTCAGTGTGCAAAAACCACACATTGGAGTTGCTTTGCTGTTTCAAGAGTATGATGATGTTGAAGGGGGCAGGGGGGGGGGCAAGGAAGCCTGCAACAATGATAAAGTCTGCAGGCCATCCATAAATTAAGATGTGAATTATGATATTTTCATTCTCCTTACAAATTTCACAAAATATGGAAAATTCATGACCATAGCGTAATTACACATCTTTCTCTTTTAATGATGTTAGTACTAGTATGCAGCACTTTCCATTAAATATTTTATATTCATCACCTTCATTTCAGGGGTCAGGAAATTTTCCCATTCTATCCTCAGCCCTTGGCCTCCTCCTTCACTGGGCAATATCTTTTTCTCCTCTTCATGCATAACAGAAGGTGTGTTGTGGTTTTATTGTATCATCCATTCTTGAGAGAAATTCTAACCATAAGGTTTTATAATCCTTCATTTTATCTTCTACTGAATATGTAGGCTTCCTTCACTTCATACAGGTAATTCATTTCATGAAAACTGTTTGCAAGGTGAAAATTTGTAAACCAAAAATTAAATTCTTAACGCTTTACATGCAAAAGTCACTGAACTTAATGAAAGCTAATTGTTCACTGTCATGAAAATGAAGTCTGTTACATGGAAAGTATGTAGAAATTAGCATACTTCATTGTAGCAGAAATATATAATGGATAAGGTATAAAAGGAATGATAGGCACAAACTGAGTTTCGATGAATGCCTGGAGAAAGCTGCATATGTCTACAACATGCAAATTTTTTGTTGCTGCCAAGTGAGATAATGCCCTCGACATATATTTCCATTTTCTGGAATCCCAACCATAAGGCTTCATAAGTGGATAGAAATAGACAGCATTTTACCTAAGTGTGAATTTGGTTTAGTTAGAGAACTAGGGATAATGTCCGCTAAAGGCTGGAGTGATTGAATGGGGGGGGGGGCAGTCCAGTGCTGGTTTACAATACAGTAAGCAATGTTGCAACAGTAGAACATGAAACACAATGTCAGTGTAGCAGTGTTTTCTGTTGGGTCCACTCCAAGGCTCTATAACTTGACCCCATAAGGTGAGTAATTGGTTGTGAGATAGTCACCAACAAGTAAGGACACGAACACAGAAGCTGAGGGATCCACAGAGTTGGAAACCATTATCAGACAACCAGTGAAGACTCAGCATACTGAGAACACACAGTGCAAGCTGTAGTGAACTGCGGAGTATGTGAATTTGCAACAGCGCTAGAGTTACTTGTAGTTACAATTTGTAAGAGTCCAGTAAATCCAATTACCAATCCATACCCCATCTAGAGTTAATCACGTGACAATATACTATGATAAACTGTATAAGTGGCATATATGAGGATGTGAAAGAGGAGCCTGGAAAGACCAGTGTCCCATATGTGGTGAACAGGAAGATGTCACTGCATATTATTTTACCTTCTGCCAAGTTCTCAAACTGTAGAGTGTGTACGTAAGAAATGGTGAAACATTCACAAATACACTTTTTTATGAAAACTGTAAACTACAGAAAAATAAATCACCTGAAGAGCCTATATGACAGCCTGCTGAAAGCTACAGGTAAGTGGGAAAATTGTGCTAAGAGAATGGATTTAGTTAGTTACACTGATAATGTTGGGGAGGAGATAGATGTTAATTGGTAAGTTTGTATGGCACTGTGCTTTCTACGTAGGTCGTACCAAAAGTCATGAGCAACTTTTTTTTTGCATGCAACCTGGGAACAGAAAACGAAAGAGAGTATGGTGGTAGGTGGAACCAGCTGCTGTGTTAACCTTGAGTGTCTTGTGACATCAATAGCTTGCATCACATGACCAGTATCAGTCCTAACAAAATGAACGACAACCATATGTCGTTTCGCCAGTGTGTTGTCAACAAATTTCTTGTGAAAGAGAAAATCCCTGCTGCAGAAATTCACCAGAGACTTCAGCATGCTTATGGAAGTGTGCACGGGTGCGAGCAGTGTTCGAAGATGGGTGAAATATTTTAAAGATGGGAACACCAGCATGGAAGATGAGCCTCAGAGTGGTCGTCCTCGAACCTCAACTGAACGCAACAAGGAAAGAGTCGATGAGATCATTCAAGATGACAGGCATGTGACTGTGGACACAACAGCCCAAAAACTTGGAATATGGTACAGCGCAGTACAGGAGATAATTGAAAGCTTGGGCTATAGGAAAGTTTGTGCTTGTTGGGTCCCGCAGTTATTGCCCGAAGACCACAAAGGTCAGCAAAAAGCCATCACCTCAGAAGTGCTGCAGAGATATTGACACGAAGGCGATGATTTTCTGCTCTGTATTGTGACAGGTGATGAAAGCTGGTTTCACCATTTCGAGTGTAAAATGAAACGGCAGAGTATGGAATGGCACCATTTGCATCTCCATCAAAAAAGAAGGCAAAGACAGTTCCATCAGCTGCGAAAGGTGATGGGCACAGTCTTCTGGGATGCAGAGGGGTTTATTCTGGCCGAATTCCTGGAACCTGGACAAACCATCAATGCTGCTTGTTATGTCCAGATGCTGTGCAAGCTCCGTCGTGCACTGTGTGATAAACAACCGGGACGAAACATCATCCTGCATGACAACACTCGCCTCCACGCCGCTCGCCTCACATTGGAAGCAATTGCAAAGATGGGATGGGAAGTTCTTCCACACTCCTCCTACAGCCCTGATCTGGCACCCTCCGACTACCATCTTTTCGGATTTGTGAAGGATCAGCTGCGTGGACAACGTTTTGAGACAAGGGAGGTAATTCAGAAAGCAGTGCGTCAGTGTCTTCAGATGGCTGGAATGGAATTTTACAGAAGGGGAATTTTCGAACTCCCAGAATGCTGGAAGAAATGTGTACAAAGAAGTGGCGATTATGCGGAAAAATAAAGAAAGGTCTGTAGATTGAGGTGGTGTATTTCGTTTGTCAATAATAAAGCATGTTACTTTACAAAAAATTGTTGCTCATGACTTTCAGTACGACCCTCATACATGGGACCCACTAACTAATAACCAGAATTAAGTGTGAGGGTGAGTCTCTCTGTGCAGTATCACAACACAATAAATGGTCATTCATTCATAATTTACAATGCTTAAAATGTTTAATATGTTCTAAAGGGTATGATCTCTTGTTATTTGACAACAGTCTCCTGTGAAGACATCTTCAGGTTGAATGATTTATGTATTTTGTTAAACTGTAGTAAACATCTCCATGACTTATCCTTTGTCTTTTAAATTATAATACAGTAATCTGCTATCAAAATAGATCCCAATGAACCCAAACTCACCAGGAAACCGATTACTCTCATCTGACGCACTGCTGTTGAGACTACTACTAGAGCCACCCATACGTTCCTTGTCGGGTTGCTCTAATCGTATTGGTGATGCATTTCGTCGTATTGTGTCCTCAATCAGCTGCTTAGCATGGCTGTAACATGAAATATCATGGACATACAATGACACCCTAAGTTTAAACAAGACCGTAGTAAAAGTATTTTTATAAAAGTGTCCTCTCTCTAACATAGCTAACTGAATTAAACTTGAGTCTGGAACTAAAACTTCCATATATTTGGAGTAGAAAGCTGAACCTGGACTAAGAAAGATGTAGGAAAATTGCAAGCAACAGTGACAAAACTGTTACACAGTTTTAAGAAATGAAGAACAAAAAGGGATAAATTGTGAAACCATAACACTAGATAATGCGTCAAACATTACAAGAAACACTGGTGAAACAAAGGACAATGGTACAGGAAGGCGTTATGCAGGGACAAATTGATTCCTTTCAGAGCAACTAAAGTTGAATATATTAAAAAACACGAACACTGGGGAACTAAAAGGCAAGGTTCAGAGACCAAGTGAGGGAAGATAGACAAAACAGACTATGGCAGCAGCCTTATTAACAAAATAAATTCAGTTATGAGACATTTATATAGATGGTTCCAAGCTAACCAATTAATACTAAATTTAAAAAAAAACCCATGTAATGAAATTTATGACCCCGAAGGTCATGGACTATCCATTACATATAAAATATAATGACCAAATACTTAAATTTTCTGTAAATGTTAAGTTTTTAGGTGTGTGCCTGGACAATCATTTGGGCTGGGAAAAATACTCTGATGAAGTGATAAATAAGTTGAGTGTTGCAACCTTTGTGCTTAGAAAACTACAGCCTATAGTAAGTAGGCAAGTGTTGAAAATGGCTTATTGTGCTTACTGTCAAGCTCAACTTAAATATGGTGTTATTTTCTGGGGCCCTTCTTCATCATCAATGAAAAGAGTTTCTGTGGCTCAGAAAAGAGCAATTAGAGCAATGTTAATGATGAGGCCTAGAAGTTCTTGTAGAGAGGTTTTCAGAGAATTAGGGATACTTACAGTTCCCTGTTTGTTTATATATGCCATGGTCATGTTTGTAATTGAAAACGAAAATAATTATCTTACAAATAATAGTGTACATAAAATTAACACTAGAGTACAAAATAGACTACACGTCACGTCATCTAGACTATGCATTATACAAAAGGGAGTGTATTATACATCCATAAAATTTTTTAATAATTTCCCACATAAATTATATATTTTAAAGGATAATGTTAATTTATTTAAATGAAAACTGAAAGACTTTCTCATCTTGAAAGCTTTCTATTCTATTGATGAATATATGGCAAATACCTAATTGTATTATATTCCTATTGTATCTAGGTTGTGTCTATTTGGACTTGGTTGCATATCGCAATAATCTGACAAGCTCAATATCCGGCCCAATACGGGCAATGGATCTGTGAAGTTGTGTGTGTGTGTGTGTGTGTGTAACTCAGACACAAGGTAGTACTTATGGCAAGACAGAGCAAAGCCAAAGGATCTGTTGTAGGATGACCAACACTTCTAAAAATATCAATGTGTAACAATAGTTATGATGAAAGTAATTGGTTCTGTGAAGTGACATTATGTACGAGGAGCGTTCCATATATAATGCCTCCAATTTTTTTTAAAGAAAACTACAACAGATACAGAAAGCATAATAATGCAGTTAAATAGAGCAGGATTTCAGCTACTTACAGTTATTTTTCCACATAATCACCACCATTCTTTATGCACTTTTGCCAGCGATTAACAAGAGCCTGTATGCTGTGCCCATAAAAGTCAGCGCCAGCACAAGCTAGCCACTTTCTTACAGCTGCAATGACAGCATCATTGTCTGGAAAATGTTGCCCATGTAGTCCATCTTTCATAGGACCAAAGAGATGGAAGTCTAAAGGTGCTAAACCGGGGCGATAAGGTGGATGTTGTAGGACAGTCCAGCCAAACTTTGTAATGTTCGCTGTGGTTGCCAAACTGGTATCGGGTATAGCGTTATCGTGTTGCAAGCGAAAGGTTGTCTGCTTCATTGGCCTGACTTGGAAAATGCGGGCTTTCAGCTTAGTCAGTGTTGTCTTGTAGCGTTCAGAATTGACAGTCCCTGGTCATTATCTGCTGATCTGTACGGATGAGGCGCTGTTCATTGTGAGGAGTAGCAGCTGAGCAGAGGGACGCCCAGGGCATGGCTTGTCGTGCACTTCACTTTCGCCACTGTTGAAACGCACTACCCACCGCCTCACTGTGCTGACATCCACTGTATTGTCTCCGTACACCTTTAGCAAGTGTCGATGGATGTCAGTGGGTACAATTTGTTCGGCAGTGAGAAATTCAATAACACATCTCTGTTTCATACGCACTTCTATATCAGACACCATTTTGGTAGACTGCTCTACTGTCGCTGTCGCATGACAACCAAACTAACAGTACACTGGAGGAAAGGTTCAACCTTTACTACAACACCACCAACATCCATCTCAGACGTTACATATTAACACAAAAAACAGGAGGCACTATTTACGGAACGCCATATGTACAAAGTCTGTTTAATTATTCTGATCCCCAATACAAGAAGGGTAAGCATGACAACTACTCCTAAGAATGGAATACTATATTATACAGAAATCACTACTTACTTAATCTTTTCTTCATTTGGGCCTGTTATCTGTACCAAGCGTTCCTTTGCTCCTGGATTTACTGGATAAAAACATAAAATACATTGCATATACTAACAAATCATATAGCAGCTTTAATAAGTGCTGATAACATTAATGTACATATACAATACGTTATCAATCAGTTCTGTGCAACACAGGAGATTAATATCATTCCACACATTGCTAGTGTTTGTATGAAACAGGATGCACGTGATAAAAGTTCATGCAGTAATTTCAGGAACAGATCTGAAATTAAAAGACGGGAAATATGATACACGTTAAGACTGTCACCATGCCAAGTAGAATTCTGGATAAATGTGAGCACCTGCAAAGAAATAAACTCTCAGCAATGACAGATATCTATAAATCTATTTCGGTATCAATAGTTCTCTCTCTTTTATGTCAAACATACATTTACATTGACTCACACCTCAAATTTCTGTAAGCAAAAGTTCAAATGGCTTGAAAATAAGATGATTAATTTGTTACTTCATATCACTGTATCAAGTGCTGAAATTACAGTGTCAAATGAGATATAGTAGACTGTGACTAGCAAATCAGAAGAGATACTGTAGGAATCAGTTGTGGCCAATTTTAAGGTAAACCCCCAGCATATCTTGAGAAGAAATAAGAAACCCTATGGAAATACCATTCAGGATAGCCAGACCCCTGTCAACAACATAACTTGCAAAAGTAAGCAGATATCTATTGTGGGCAGCTATGGATATTACAGAATAGAATTCTTCTATAATTTCATATTCCGCTTAAATTTCTGTTTTCATTAGATTAATATTTTTAGATCTTGTTTGGAATCTTGACAAAGGTCATCATGTCACTGTGTCCTTCTCTACTCTACAAAATCTGTCACCTGTGGAATTTGCAATTTTCTCAGAATTTCATTTCTTTTATGGTGTACATGGGAAGGGCAATAAAAGGTGAATTAGAGTTATCACATTTGCAAAACACTAACACAGACCTTAAATGCAAATCAAAGTGGCAAATTTACAAAGAAGTGACAATTTGATAAACAGCACTTCCCAGCAACAACAGGGAATATATATATATATATATACTTCTACCTAGGTGCTGAGGAAGAACCCAGATCATAGAATGTGAATATATTATGATATACTTCATCATTTAAAGAACTACTGTAAGTTACAGTTGGTGGACTAGAGCAACATCACATTTTCTGTTTGATGTGGGACCTAACTATAGCAAGTGCTTTGTTTTTCATTTATCAAATATGGTGGAATACCCTTTTAAAGTCCATTGATTTATAACAATCCCTCATTTAAAGTTTAATTTCAATCATCCCAAGTAAATAATCTCAGGTTTCGATTTCCTTTGCTTAAGGGTTTCTTCATTTTAATGTTCAAATCCACTGTTCCCCAAAAAAACCTTAAAAGGTAGCCCATTGTATGTACGTATGTATATATATATTAAAAAAACCTGTACAAAATCAAATAATTTTATGGCAATTTAAAGACTACTGCAAGGAGACCAAACTACTTTAATCCATTAGCTTATGCATGGTTAAATCATTGTATTCTGATAGAGAACCACTGTTGCATTTGTACACATGTAGGATAAGAATATTTTGTACAGTAATAAAATACAGTAACAGATGGAACGATTAGTTACATTCTGTTAGAAAAAAATAAAGCATAAGCTTACTGCTGAGTAAGTGAATTAAATGTTTGATCTTTGCTGCACTAAAGTAGAAAGTAAGAAGCGAAGTTTACAACCTTTGTAAACATAAAGTTATCCTCTTGTATAACAGGACACTCATAAGACAATGGGTTATAACTTCACTTGGTGTCAAATTAGAATGCACTTCTTGACCTTTTGAAGCTTCAGGCATTTTTGCCATTCATAAGCTCAATTGTGAGGTTCACAAAAGCAGATGGAAATTAAAATCAAGGATAACAAGTGCACAGCATGTTACAGATATGCTCCATCAGGGAGAGAATGAACATCAGCCTGGATGTGGCGTCAAAGAGAATAATCCTGTCTGCACCAGGATCAAATGCTCACAATCCAGACCGTCAGCAAGCTGCTAGAACTCTAACTACACTGAAAGCTCATGAAAATCCAATCAAGAGAGAAGATATTACATCCAAAAAGATGCAACAGTTCATGTAATCAGGTACCCTCTTGTGAAATCTGGCAGTTAAACCCATTCCACACCATAACACAATATTTCCTTTACTCCCATCTATACCAAGGTCTGTCACATGGTCATTTACCTAGAGGTATCAGACTAAAATACTGCCTGCATTTATTGTTTCTCTCATTCATGCTTACATCTCACCTGATCTAACCCAATAGAAGATTTATTGAATGAGTTTATGACATAAACTTTCAAAATGTATTGGGTGATGTTCACCTTCAGTTACATTAACAGGTAAAACTAGTGCCAAAAATTGAACTGTGGATTTAAGAAACTTCCATCACCTTGATCTGCAAGTTACGTAAGTTGAAACTAAAGCAGTACATCTGGCTGTCATAATACCCAAAGTTTACATTCTAGACTGGGGTCTGATAGCACATTTCAAAGACTATGCTTATCTTGCTGTTATTTGTTATAGTGTGACATGGATGGTGCAACAGGAAGTAGAGGTCACATGAACTCTGTGGTCTCAGGAGTAACGTCACATACCCCCACTTCTTCCATCATTAAACAACACTCAGTAAACACCCCCCTCCCCCACGGTGATGTAACAGCACTTCCTACAGTGACGTAACAGGGGACACCGCGGGTACTATGCAGCAATAAACAACTCCCAGCAGCGTTCCCCCGCAACGCCTGTAAACATGGCGTTTACACAACAGTGAAGCGACGTGGGTTTTCCGCTGCCCGACTGAGGGTTTATAAGAGAACTGGAATGCCTAAGCAGTTCAGTTGAAATATAGCAGCAGCCGCGGAAAGAAGGCCCGAACGCGTGGTTAGAAGATTTTATGTGATAGTGTGCGATAACTGAGAAGTCCGCCAGTGAAGACTTATTGTGTGCCTTCAAGACTTTGTGTACTGTAGTACAATTATATTGGGAGTGTGTAATACAGTGACACTTGTATAGCTCCTGTGTTGTACTGTGAATATGTGAAGACTATTGAAGATAGTGTGAAGAGATTATTGTGTGGGGTTTGTAAATTGCCTAAACCCGCAAGTGTTGTAAGTATTTGTAGTTACGACTTGTAGGTTGTTAAATAAACCAATTAACAATCTGAACTGCATCTTCAGTGACAAAACACGTTACAATATATTACACAGGAGGAATCTTCAACTGTGTTCCTCAGTTTAAACTTATCCTTCATTTAGAATTAAATTTCTTTTGGCCTAGTCTGGATATCTCAATGTTTAGTTCCCTATACTTGAAAGTTTCACTATATTTAATACCACTTAAACGGCCTCCGTAGTCTAGGAGTAACTTTCCCACCTCATGACTCAAGGTACGCGGCTTCAAACGCGGCGGAGGTCGTGGAATTTTTAAAGGCGGAAAAATTCAGGGAACAAGTCCTCCGGGAGGGGCTTTAAGCCGTGGGTCCTGTGTCGTAGATTTACGGCACATGAAAGAACCTCATGCCTCTAGGAGGCCTCTGAGCTAAATTAGGCCAAAAAGATTCCCACCCAAATAGTTTCCAATGCCTCTGATAGATGGGGAAGTATTAGGTACCACTGCCAGAGGAGGGACAACCTCGCTGACAGAAAGGGACTAATTATTAGATACCTCTGCCAAGCAGAGGGTAGAAACCTTGCTGGCNATCTTGAAAGCTTTCTATTCTATTGATGAATATATGGCAAATACCTAATTGTATTATATTCCTATTGTATCTAGGTTGTGTCTATTTGGACTTGGTTGCATATCGCAATAATCTGACAAGCTCAATATCCGGCCCAATACGGGCAATGGATCTGTGAAGTTGTGTGTGTGTGTGTGTAACTCAGACACAAGGTAGTACTTATGGCAAGACAGAGCAAAGCCAAAGGATCTGTTGTAGGATGACCAACACTTCTAAAAATATCAATGTGTAACAATAGTTATGATGAAAGTAATTGGTTCTGTGAAGTGACATTATGTACGAGGAGCGTTCCATATATAATGCCTCCAATTTTTTTTAAAGAAAACTACAACAGATACAGAAAGCATAATAATGCAGTTAAATAGAGCAGGATTTCAGCTACTTACAGTTATTTTTCCACATAATCACCACCATTCTTTATGCACTTTTGCCAGCGATTAACAAGAGCCTGTATGCTGTGCCCATAAAAGTCAGCGCCAGCAGAAGCTAGCCACTTTCTTACAGCTGCAATGACAGCATCGTTGTCTGGAAAATGTTGCCCATGTAGTCCATCTTTCATAGGACCAAAGAGATGGAAGTCTAAAGGTGCTAAACCGGGGCGATAAGGTGGATGTTGTAGGACAGTCCAGCCAAACTTTGTAATGTTCGCTGTGGTTGCCAAACTGGTATCGGGTATAGCGTTATCGTGTTGCAAGCGAAAGGTTGTCTGCTTCATTGGCCTGACTTGGAAAATGCGGGCTTTCAGCTTAGTCAGTGTTGTCTTGTAGCGTTCAGAATTGACAGTCCCTGGTCATTATCTGCTGATCTGTACGGATGAGGCGCTGTTCATTGTGAGGAGTAGCAGCTGAGCAGAGGGACGCCCAGGGCATGGCTTGTCGTGCACTTCACTTTCGCCACTGTTGAAACGCACTACCCACCGCCTCACTGTGCTGACATCCACTGTATTGTCTCCGTACACCTTTAGCAAGTGTCGATGGATGTCAGTGGGTACAATTTGTTCGGCAGTGAGAAATTCAATAACACATCTCTGTTTCATACGCACTTCTATATCAGACACCATTTTGGTAGACTGCTCTACTGTCGCTGTCGCATGACAACCAAACTAACAGTACACTGGAGGAAAGGTTCAACCTTTACTACAACACCACCAACATCCATCTCAGACGTTACATATTAACACAAAAAACAGGAGGCACTATTTACGGAACGCCATATGTACAAAGTCTGTTTAATTATTCTGATCCCCAATACAAGAAGGGTAAGCATGACAACTACTCCTAAGAATGGAATACTATATTATACAGAAATCACTACTTACTTAATCTTTTCTTCATTTGGGCCTGTTATCTGTACCAAGCGTTCCTTTGCTCCTGGATTTACTGGATAAAAACATAAAATACATTGCATATACTAACAAATCATATAGCAGCTTTAATAAGTGCTGATAACATTAATGTACATATACAATACGTTATCAATCAGTTCTGTGCAACACAGGAGATTAATATCATTCCACACATTGCTAGTGTTTGTATGAAACAGGATGCACGTGATAAAAGTTCATGCAGTAATTTCAGGAACAGATCTGAAATTAAAAGACGGGAAATATGATACACGTTAAGACTGTCACCATGCCAAGTAGAATTCTGGATAAATGTGAGCACCTGCAAAGAAATAAACTCTCAGCAATGACAGATATCTATAAATCTATTTCGGTATCAATAGTTCTCTCTCTTTTATGTCAAACATACATTTACATTGACTCACACCTCAAATTTCTGTAAGCAAAAGTTCAAATGGCTTGAAAATAAGATGATTAATTTGTTACTTCATATCACTGTATCAAGTGCTGAAATTACAGTGTCAAATGAGATATAGTAGACTGTGACTAGCAAATCAGAAGAGATACTGTAGGAATCAGTTGTGGCCAATTTTAAGGTAAACCCCCAGCATATCTTGAGAAGAAATAAGAAACCCTATGGAAATACCATTCAGGATAGCCAGACCCCTGTCAACAACATAACTTGCAAAAGTAAGCAGATATCTATTGTGGGCAGCTATGGATATTACAGAATAGAATTCTTCTATAATTTCATATTCCGCTTAAATTTCTGTTTTCATTAGATTAATATTTTTAGATCTTGTTTGGAATCCTGACAAAGGTCATCATGTCACTGTGTCCTTCTCTACTCTACAAAATCTGTCACCTGTGGAATTTGCAATTTTCTCAGAATTTCATTTCTTTTATGGTGTACATGGGAAGGGCAATAAAAGGTGAATTAGAGTTATCACATTTGCAAAACACTAACACAGACCTTAAATGCAAATCAAAGTGGCAAATTTACAAAGAAGTGACAATTTGATAAACAGCACTTCCCAGCAACAACAGGGAATATATATATATATATACTTCTACCTAGGTGCTGAGGAAGAACCCAGATCATAGAATGTGAATATATTATGATATACTTCATCATTTAAAGAACTACTGTAAGTTACAGTTGGTGGACTAGAGCAACATCACATTTTCTGTTTGATGTGGGACCTAACTATAGCAAGTGCTTTGTTTTTCATTTATCAAATATGGTGGAATACCCTTTTAAAGTCCATTGATTTATAACAATCCCTCATTTAAAGTTTAATTTCAATCATCCCAAGTAAATAATCTCAGGTTTCGATTTCCTTTGCTTAAGGGTTTCTTCATTTTAATGTTCAAATCCACTGTTCCCCAAAAAAACCTTAAAAGGTAGCCCATTGTATGTACGTATGTATATATATATTAAAAAAACCTGTACAAAATCAAATAATTTTATGGCAATTTAAAGACTACTGCAAGGAGACCAAACTACTTTAATCCATTAGCTTATGCATGGTTAAATCATTGTATTCTGATAGAGAACCACTGTTGCATTTGTACACATGTAGGATAAGAATATTTTGTACAGTAATAAAATACGGTAACAGATGGAACGATTAGTTACATTCTGTTAGAAAAAAATAAAGCATAAGCTTACTGCTGAGTAAGTGAATTAAATGTTTGATCTTTGCTGCACTAAAGTAGAAAGTAAGAAGCGAAGTTTACAACCTTTGTAAACATAAAGTTATCCTCTTGTATAACAGGACACTCATAAGACAATGGGTTATAACTTCACTTGGTGTCAAATTAGAATGCACTTCTTGACCTTTTGAAGCTTCAGGCATTTTTGCCATTCATAAGCTCAATTGTGAGGTTCACAAAAGCAGATGGAAATTAAAATCAAGGATAACAAGTGCACAGCATGTTACAGATATGCTCCATCAGGGAGAGAATGAACATCAGCCTGGATGTGGCGTCAAAGAGAATAATCCTGTCTGCACCAGGATCAAATGCTCACAATCCAGACCGTCAGCAAGCTGCTAGAACTCTAACTACACTGAAAGCTCATGAAAATCCAATCAAGAGAGAAGATATTACATCCAAAAAGATGCAACAGTTCATGTAATCAGGTACCCTCTTGTGAAATCTGGCAGTTAAACCCATTCCACACCATAACACAATATTTCCTTTACTCCCATCTATACCAAGGTCTGTCACATGGTCATTTACCTAGAGGTATCAGACTAAAATACTGCCTGCATTTATTGTTTCTCTCATTCATGCTTACATCTCACCTGATCTAACCCAATAGAAGATTTATTGAATGAGTTTATGACATAAACTTTCAAAATGTATTGGGTGATGTTCACCTTCAGTTACATTAACAGGTAAAACTAGTGCCAAAAATTGAACTGTGGATTTAAGAAACTTCCATCACCTTGATCTGCAAGTTACGTAAGTTGAAACTAAAGCAGTACATCTGGCTGTCATAATACCCAAAGTTTACATTCTAGACTGGGGTCTGATAGCACATTTCAAAGACTATGCTTATCTTGCTGTTATTTGTTATAGTGTGACATGGATGGTGCAACAGGAAGTAGAGGTCACATGAACTCTGTGGTCTCAGGAGTAACGTCACATACCCCCACTTCTTCCATCATTAAACAACACTCAGTAAACACCCCCCTCCCCCACGGTGATGTAACAGCACTTCCTACAGTGACGTAACAGGGGACACCGCGGGTACTATGCAGCAATAAACAACTCCCAGCAGCGTTCCCCCGCAACGCCTGTAAACATGGCGTTTACACAACAGTGAAGCGACGTGGGTTTTCCGCTGCCCGACTGAGGGTTTATAAGAGAACTGGAATGCCTAAGCAGTTCAGTTGAAATATAGCAGCAGCCGCGGAAAGAAGGCCCGAACGCGTGGTTAGAAGATTTTATGTGATAGTGTGCGATAACTGAGAAGTCCGCCAGTGAAGACTTATTGTGTGCCTTCAAGACTTTGTGTACTGTAGTACAATTATATTGGGAGTGTGTAATACAGTGACACTTGTATAGCTCCTGTGTTGTACTGTGAATATGTGAAGACTATTGAAGATAGTGTGAAGAGATTATTGTGTGGGGTTTGTAAATTGCCTAAACCCGCAAGTGTTGTAAGTATTTGTAGTTACGACTTGTAGGTTGTTAAATAAACCAATTAACAATCTGAACTGCATCTTCAGTGACAAAACACGTTACAATATATTACACAGGAGGAATCTTCAACTGTGTTCCTCAGTTTAAACTTATCCTTCATTTAGAATTAAATTTCTTTTGGCCTAGTCTGGATATCTCAATGTTTAGTTCCCTATACTTGAAAGTTTCACTATATTTAATACCACTTAAACGGCCTCCGTAGTCTAGGAGTAACGTTCCCACCTCATGACTCAAGGTACGCGGCTTCAAACGCGGCGGAGGTCGTGGAATTTTTAAAGGCGGAAAAATTCAGGGAACAAGTCCTCCGGGAGGGGCTTTAAGCCGTGGGTCCTGTGTCGTAGATTTACGGCACATGAAAGAACCTCATGCCTCTAGGAGGCCTCTGAGCTAAATTAGGCCAAAAAGATTCCCACCCAAATAGTTTCCAATGCCTCTGATAGATGGGGAAGTATTAGGTACCACTGCCAGAGGAGGGACAACCTCGCTGACAGAAAGGGACTAATTATTAGATACCTCTGCCAAGCAGAGGGTAGAAACCTTGCTGGCAGAAAGGAGCTAAAGTATTAGGTACCACTGCCAGAGGAGGGACAACCTCGCTGACAGAAAGGGGCTGATAGCGAGCACCAGTATCGGTAGGGGATGGAGATGGTAGAAATTAAAAGGGGGATGTACAACAGACTATCAGTCGCGGTGCATGGGGAAACCCACCCTCTCAATACTGAATCACTGAATACCACTTAACTTCAAATATAGGACACCCTCTAATTTAAGATGCATCCAATTTTTAAATAACGGGTTTAGGGAAAAACTGGAAATATTTATTTATTTCAGTGAGTTTATTTAGAACACATAAATTAAAATAAAATATTTAGAACACATTTAAATTGCAAATGGAAATATATCAGAATTAAATTAAAATTCAAAATTTTCACTACATGCACCTTCCTTTCCATCTTTTTTATTTAATCAGAAAGTTCATCCAATGATCCTTCAGTCATACTTTCATTTTCTGAAGATGATGCACCCTTGCCGCTTTGTTCACTGTCGTCCCAAAGAATGTCACATTGCATTCCATCTTCTGCATTAGACAAACAGCACTTTAAAAACGATTTTGAAATAATATTGACTGGCACCGCTTTCCAAGCTTTTGATATCCACTCCACTGTTACTGATGCTGATGCTCTCTTTATTTTGCCACTTGTCTTTATTCAGCCAGCCATCATAGTGTTTACAGACAAGATACTTAAATGATTTTTTAATTGTCATATCAAGTGGTTGTAATTAATCTGTCTTGTCACTAGGAATTATCACTAGATCGGTGCTTTTCTTCCTTAACCTAGTTCTGATTCTATTGAAGAGATGGTCATAAAATGCATCCATTACAAGCATACTCCATGGTTTCGATAACACAAAAGGCTGACATTCCCACTGTATATCCAAACCAGTCTTCCATTAACTTCAATGTCATCCATGTATTTTTTGAGCCTGAACTATCACATCTTTGTAAACATTTTCTTTTGGAAATGTCTTTTTGTTTAATATTATGTATGGTGGTAATTTATTGCCATTTGCAGTTATACAGAGCATGACAGTAACTTGTAACGTTTTGTAGCCTATGGCTACCATTAAACTTGTTTTTCCCTATGAAATTTATGATATAATTGTAAGGCATGTTGAAAAAAAATTGCAGTTTCATCTGCACTGCCAATTTGACTTAAAGATACTTAAAAAGACTTCTTATTTGTCAGACATGAAAACAATTTTGTTTTATACTTCACCAATGACATACACATGCCTCACTTACTGTACATTTTCTACCAGCTG